CGGGGGCGGCCGGGGCGGTCGACGAAGAGAAATACATTGTCTTTGGCTATCGCGGTTAGCGACTCAACCCCGTTTCTCCTTCGACCTGTCCTTGGCCGTGGTCGAGACGGCGACGGCGGGCACAGGCACTTTATTCTCAGTCTTGTTGTCTTTGACGTCGACCATGTCGTCGTCGTCGAAGAGATCATCCTCGGGCTCTGGCTCGGCCACCAGGTGATCTGGGACGCCGTTCTTGTTGTACCTGAACAACGAAAGGGGTCAGTGATTGAACTGCGAGTGTGATCGAATCGAATATAAAGATCCTCACCTCGGGTGCGTCCCGTCTCCGGTGCGCAGTGCCCTCCGACGCACCAGGTCCGCAGGGGCCGCCTTCAGGTCGTAGGCCCACCCCATCTTGGCGAACGTCTCGATGATGGTGCAAGTAAAGTTGAAGTTCTGGCCGAACTCGGCGGCCCGGTAGTCCCAGGGGAAAGTGTGGTGGAAGTTGTGCCAACCCTCGCCGAATGTCAGGAAGGACACGAGCCTGCTCTCGCTGGGCAGGATTTCGTTGTTGAAGGGGTGCGTGCCGTACAGATGCGCCCAGCTGTTCACCAGCCACGCCACGTTGAGCACGACAAAGGTCCTCGTGATGAACGAAATGATGAACGAGTTCCACCAGGTCTCGCCCCAGAAGTACACCGGGACCACCGTGGGGAACAGAATGGACAGCAGCACGTACAGGATATTGTAATACCTGTAGAAACATCGACGATCCATATAGCTCTAGTATTTTGTGTCCAACACAACACATGCCCTGCCAGACCAAGACCAAATCGCTCACTTTTTCTGGAACATGACGAGCCAGTCCGCCTCGATGTCGGACATGTCCACCTTACGGCCGGCCTCGAACACGGCGGGGTGCTTGCGGACCATCAGCCAGCCGATGTGGGAGAAGAAGAAGCCCCTGCTGGCGTTGTGGGGGTCCGCGTGCGTGTCGGAGAACTTGTGGTGCTGGCGGTGGTCGCGCACCCACACCCACAGGCAGTTCTAGGGAGGTGAGCAGAGCAGGACGGAGAGGTGAGAGCACGGCGCCATAAGGTTGGCGTCTGGACCCGGCTCCGAGCCAAACCCTCACCTGACTAGACACGGTCTGCCACAGCACGATGAGCAGCCTCAGAGGGAAGGTGGCCTTGTAGGAGCGGTGCGTGTAGTAGCGGTGCGCCCCCAGCAGCACGGACTGCGCCGACACGAACCCCACGATGAAGGCTGTAAGCATAGGGGGCTCGCTCGTTTGAGCCTGGGGTTGCGGGCGGGGGCCACGGCAGCAACGGAGATCGATGAGAAGGAAAGCTCTGCAGGACTCACCCCAGATGTCGGTGATGACGTACGCGTGGAACATGCCCAGGTAGATCCCGTACAGGGTGATGAGATGCATGATGAGAAAGCCGATGGCGTTGAACCACACGATCTCCGTCTTGAAGGGCTCCTCGTGCTGTGGCTCCTTGACGGCCGGGCTCGCCTCCACGGCGGCGGGGGTCTTCGCCTTGCTGGGCGCGATGCCGCCGGCCTTAGCATTGGCGGTGCCGTTGGCCACCGAGCCGTTCTGCGCCACGGGACTCTTGCTCGCGATCCGCTGCGAGAAGTCCTTGAGCATGGACGACACCTCCGGGTCGGAGGCGAACTTGGTGGACGCCATGGCCCTCTGCAAAACGAAGGCGGGGTGACGAGCGAGTTCAATAATTTTGAAATAACGACGCCCTTTGATCCGCCGCCACCGCCGTCGTCCACCCGCGACTTTCGGAGCCGTCGGCCGTCGGTTCGGGCATTTCGGGTCGAGATTAAGTGCATATTAAGGGCGTCAGTCAGCGGCAAATGGAGCAGCGAGCGATACCTCGCCCCAGTCCGCGCGGAGCGCATTGGGAGACGGACAACTCGCCCCATCCAAGTCGCCCCATGGTACAAGTCGCCCCAATGCTAACTCGCCCCGATTTTAGGGCTGGGGCGAGTCGCAGGATTGTGCCATCTCGCCCCAGTCAAATATTTTCGTCCAATTTTTATTCCATTTGAATATTGCTGGGCATTGTTAAGCGTCCCTCTCCTTCAAAGCTGAAGTCTTCTCTGGCCCAAGTAAAAGTTCGAATCCACAGAATTGTGGACCGCACACAGATAATGGTCCCACTGAATTAACGGAGAATGCCTTAGATCAATAGAAATCTAACAAATAGAAAATATGATATTAATTTTCCGCAAAATTAAGCGATTTTTCGATTACCTTATGGGATATGTTCCCTTGAACCAATAAAATTCCGTCGAGTCAAAAGAAAAATTTTATAACAGTTTCTTCCTATTGAATCAACCGAACCTTTTTCTAGGTGGGCTACGTGGAGAACACAGAGGACGACGACGTAGTCACATAGTTAAGAGCCATCGGCCACAACTTGTCCGGATTCTTTTAATGTAATCAAATAGAAGTTCACATTCCTTGTAAAAAACTGATTTCAACTGGGGCGACTTAGCGTTGGGGCGACATGGGTACGGGGCGAAATGGTCATGGGGCGACTTTATACCGGGGCAAGTTAGACTGGGGCGAGTTGTCCTAGATCCGAGCGCATTCAGCACGGCGTCACGAACGACGCGCCGAAGAGATGGGGCGGCCGCGTCAAGTCCCTACGGCAATCACGGAATGTCGGTGCCAAAGCTGGGGCCGGGCCGGACGGGACTCGCTCCATTTTACAAGCTGCAGCAGCAGCAGCAGTCGAGTCGTGCCTCGGTCCTCGGTTGGTCCCGCGTGGGGCTGAACCTGAACGTGGCTGCTGGGCGCGAATGACGGCCCGCGGGGCCGACATGACGAACACTATCGGCTTCGAGAGCAGTCTGAAGGGCGCACGACAAACGCACACAGGCACCCCCCCCC